CCCGCCCCTCCGCACCTCTGCCCCCCAGCGCACACACATGGACACACATCTAAAGCACCCAGAACAGCCCGGCCGGCGTGGCTCACGGTTTGATTCCTGGTCAGGGCACATGTCCGGGTTGCGGGCTCAATCCCCAGTAGGGGCATGCAGGAGGCAGCCAATCAATGATTCTCTCTCATCATTGATGTTTCTATCTCTCTCTCCCTCTCCCTCTCTGAAATCAATAAAACTGTATTTAAAAAAAGAAAGAAAAAGTAGTTGGTGGCAGTGTATGTAGAGGGCCGTGGAAGAATGTTTGGGGGAATGTGGATATTTTTCTATATGCATGAGGGGAGCTGTTGGAGGTTTCCAAGCAGGGGAGTGGTATAGGAAGTCGTATTTTGAGTGACCAGTCCCTTTCTGACCGTGTTCATCTGCAAACTGGGGGCAGAGTCCTTTCTCCTCTCCCGGTACACAGGTGGTAGGGAGTTAATGAGAGGAGGTGTTCACCACTGTGCACTCTTGGGAAGGGTGGTACAGAGCAGGGGTGGGGAACGTCTGGCCCGCGGGCCATATAAGGCCCAGGAAATCATTTGGTCTGGCCCTGCCAAGGCATTAGGGGTGAGTTAGTTAAATGTTTGACCAAATACAGCAGGTGAATTTTTAAGTTGATAATTTTGAATGGCCCGTGAATGATGTTATAAATATTCAAACGGCCTCTTGGCAGGAAAAAGGTTCCCCACCCCTGGTATAGAGGTGAGTTTAAACATGACCGCACACATATCACTTTAATGCCGGGAGGAGCCCTTCAGAGAGGAGTGGAAGAGACAACTCACTTGTCCAGCTCGTCCCAGAAAACGTGGGGGTCCGAGCTCTTGTGCCGGATCTTCACCATGTGCTGCACCAGGCGGATGGAGCGGTTATAGGATTTGTCCAGTTCGCTGATGATGAACAGCAGGTCCGAGCTGAGGGCCGGCGCGGCTGCGTACTGCCACAGCAGAACTGGCAGGTACATGGCCACGGCCAGGGCCAGCAGGGAGTAGGGGAGGGCCTGCGGGACGAGAGCGAGCTGAGCAGGGAGGCCCAGGGTGCGGAGAGTTCTGAGGGAAGGGCCCCTGCCTCAAAGGGGAAGGAGCTACCACAGGCCCAGGACCTAAGGCCGAATACAGTGAGGCCCAGGAAAGAAGGGATAGCGAGTATCCAGGCTCCCCAGCTCCACTTTGCTGATCTGGGGTCTGTGTAGGGTCCCAGGAAGGAGAGAGGGAAGAGGCAGAAAGAGAGGAAGAGAGGGAGAGAGGACGGAAGGAGGTAAGAGAGGAATCAGGGATGGGGTGGGTAGAGAGGGCCCCCCATTCCCCATGCATGTAGCCTTGTAAATTGTCTTAACTACATAATGTTATGAGCTAACCAGAAATCGTGGCCAACCGTGGTCCTGGCATCCAGGGGTGTGTGTGTGTGTGTGTGTGTGTGTGTGTGTGTGTGTGTGTGTGTGTGTGAAAGAGAAAGAGAATGTGTGAGTCTCTGAAAGGTATATTGGACGATGAGAGAGAACTAGGACCTTTTCACACCTGTTTTAAAAAATAACATTCCTTGTAAACAGTCTTCACTCCTAGAGATTTTACTCTTTCCTGACGTAGAATTCCCTCTGCACTGTCTTGAACTTGTTGCCGTCCGCCTCTGGCTTTGACATTTCCCGGGACGGAGGCCTCGTGAATCTCTGCATTAAGTCTGGCTTGTCTGGGTCCTGGAACTAGGGTATTTTGAGGCCTTGTAAACTGTCATAACTACAAAACGTCACGGGTGACTTCTGATTAAACGTTGTGAATTGGACATTTACGTGACGTCTGCTCCCTCACAAAACCACTCGGGAACAACAGTGAAGGGATCAAAAAGACATAATCTTGTAAGAACAAAGAAAACAGGAGAGGAGCTCTAGCCAGTTTGGCTCAGTGGATAGAGCAGTGGTTCTCAACCTGTGGGTCGCGACCCCTTTGGGGGTCGAACGACCCTTTCACAGGGGTCGCCTAAGACCATCAGAAAACACATATATAATTACATATTGTTTTTGTGATTAATCACTGTGCTTTAATTATGTTCAATTTGTAACAATGAAAATACATCCTGCATATCAGATATTTACATGACGATTCATAACAGTAGCAAAATTACAGTTATGAAGTAGCAACGAAAATAATTTTATGGTTGGGGGTCACCACAACATGAGGGACTGTATTAAAGGGTCGCAGCATTAGGAAGGTTGAGAACCACTGGGATAGAGCGTCTGCCTGCAGACTAAAGGGTCCCAGGTTCCATTCTGGTCAAGAGCATGTGCCCGGGATGCAGGCTCGATCCCCAGCACGGGGCCTGCAGGAGGCAGCTGATCAATGATTCTCTCTGATCATTGATGTTTCTATCTCTCTCTCCCTCTCCTTTCCTCTCTAAAATCAATAAAAAAAATTTTTTTTTAAAAAAGAAGAAAACAGGAGAGGAGACAAGAGCAACTGAGAAGCAGTTGCGTGACGAAAGAGACCAGCCTGTGGGTGGATGGCAGCTGAGGCAGGAGCGAGCAAGCAAGCTGTCTTCACCACAGAACCAGAAAGGCCCCGGAGTTAGGGATGCGGGTACATCTGAAAGGGGCTGCCGATGGGGCTGAGCACAGGGATATTGAAAAGCCAGCCCTGCAGATTCTTTCTGCAACATGATGCACTCAGTGAGGGCCCTGTCCCGCCCCTGCGGGAGGCTGTGGTTACGTCCCAGAAACTGAGCCAGAGAGATTCAGCACTTGTGGTCCGTTCTGCAGGGGACCACACTGAGAACGGGGGGAGCTACATGAGTACTGAAAGCTGGGACCCACTTCTGGTTCCCAGAGGGTTGGCAGCTGAGCTGGATATCAGCTCCACCCTGCCCCCTCCACAAAAATTAGGATCGAATCATTCTTCTTCGGAAAACGGACCGGCCCAAGAGAAAGGATTACAGACGCTGACATTCGAGGTTTTCACAATGAAATGGCCCAAGGGATCTCCTTCAACTCGGGGCTGCTGGCCAACAAGCCTCATCCATCAGCACAAAACTCTAGTCAGATAACAGTGGGAAACCCAAGATCACCAGACGTTTGACGAACGCCTGAAACGTGAGTCCGTGACCAACATATGAAAGTGGAGGGGTGGCGAAGAGACGAGAGAGAATATAGTGATGCAGCCCAGCCCCACCCCACGCAGCTGTGAGGCCGGCCTGATGGAGCCGGGCCCACGTTACCTTGTGAGGCCAGAGGGATTTCAGCTGGTACCGACCAGGCTCCTCCTGTTGGTGGTGAACCAGCGAGTCCCAACAGGAACTGTCCACATAGGCGGCCTGCCGAGCGCTGAAGTTACTGGGCGAGAAGCAGCTGATGGGAGACCCTGGAACAGGAACACGGCTTTGAGGAAGCCCTGAGTTGGAGTGAGGAACGGGAATCCAGGGGGCACGCAGCTAAAACCTTCTAGGAGTCACCTCCACGGCTCTGCCAGTTTGTGTGCCTGGCAGGCACTTCCTTCTTCCCGTGCCCCAGTTTCTGGGTTTGGCAAGCCCGTGTCATCGTGTCACCGTCGGACGGGCCAGGCTGGACAGCACTCTGCTGTTTGACTCAGGCCTGCCCATGACTGACTTGCCTTTGGCGTCTGCCAGTTTTTTGCACTCTGAGCTCTCCCTGGACTCCCAGACAGGCAGGCAGCAGGGGGTCAGGGGTGGGAGGTGCAGTGAGTGTGTGTG